CTGCTACCAAAATTTGGCCATGCAAACTAAATACAAATAAACATGTATTTGTATGTATTTTGTGTATATTTCTGCTTTCATTGTTTGGACAAATATAAACATTTTGGAGAATGCAGGAGAAATGGGTAGTTCTATACCAAATATCCTTTCTGACAGCTTTCATCTCCTAAACCAGAAAAACAAATCCTTCTGTCAAAAGGAATATAACATGTCAAACAGGATAGATGCATGAGAGTACAATTTATACTCCCATCTTATTAAGCTACTCTGCAGTCTGAGATGCAGAGTAGCTGTACCTAAAGTCAATGTGATACTCTGCTAAACACTGGGATGAGTGCTCTGGCAGTCTAGAGCAGGTTAAAACCTATGCTCTTCCTTCTGTGTGTTCTTCAGGAAAAGACAGAACAAATAATTTTGTAAACTGCATTGACTCTTGCAAAGTTTAACTCTGTGAAGGAATCTGACACATCCATTTGAGATGGTTAGAGTTGCACAGAAAGCTGTTAAAGACCACCAAAAAGGCATAGAGGTCACCAAAACACTGCTCAACCCCATGCCTAACTTTGAGATTTTAAATGTACACAGATGATGCTGTTTGTGAGAAACAGAATATGAAACAATGTCTTGTCACAGGTCTTTGGTGCAGCAATTTCTCTTACAGGGATGCTCACAATGGCAATAAAAGGCATCAGTGTTTTCTGTATGTGTTAGAAACTCTCTGTAGGTTGCAGTATGCATCATCAGCTACCTGCTGCTTTTCCTGCCTAATACACAGTGGATGTCAAACATTTTTTCAGTGGCCACCAGACTCTTGAACTGTCTTGCATGAGAAGTTACTACCCTATAAAGGACAAAAACAAATTAGAATGAACTCTTAATGAACTATAGATAAAAATCTCGTATTTTGGAAGCATGCAGTGTTAAACTGCTTATTTTAGCAGCAATATTTTAAAAGCTAAAACAAAATCATATTTGCTGACTGTTAAACCTTTTACACGTTAAATGTTGTACCCCAGCTTATAAACTTCATTCCCTGTATTTCTGTGTCAAACAAAATCTGTCAAACATTTTTCCCTCAATGTTTATTTTCTACATTTTTCCCCAGTCTGTTCATAGTAATCACATTCTCAGAAGTCAAATGACATATTTACATATGGGTTATTTAGCATAGCATTATTACAAATATTACATGTGGACACTGAGTAGCATTTTTGCCTAATCCTAAGAATTGGATTTTAGTCTTCACTTCCTGTCTTGCTATGAATATAATCCATACAAGAAATATACAGATAAATAACACAAAAAGCAGTCTGTGCAATATACTGTGCTTTACTGTATGGTAAAATGCTCACTACTCAAGAGTTTGGTGGGGTTTTCTCTCCTTAGTAACCAACAGCAGGCTTTTTTCTAGGTCTAAGATTAACATTATTCCTGTGATTAACAATTTTATTAACTTTAATTACAAATTTTTAATTCTAACTTTTTGAAAGTACCAAACCTTTTGGAAAAATTGTGCACTTGACAAGAACAACTGAAACTGTAAAAGAGGTTTTGTAAAAATCAGTATGTGAAGCAGGGAAAGTGAGCTAGGAAATGTGAGCAGCATGTACCAAGTTCCCTGGGTACCTCTTTCTTCCCTGGGTACCTCTTTCTCTTATTAATATCTGTCCATGACACACTTGGCACTGTGTCCTTTCCCCACTGATATCTCAGCTGCAGACCTGCTATCCATGAAAATTATTTTTTATCAGTTTGCCTAGTCCATGTCCCAGTGCACACAACCAACCCACAGATGTTCTGATAAAGCAGCTGCCTGCCAAACAGCATGTGTATGTGACCATGACTGGTAGGTTGTTATTTCTCTGGGTGTTTGCAGGCAGAGAATGTCCTGCGTGCACCCACATCTGATTTGCACAGTAGACAGTTCTGCTCATGGGGACAGCACCAAAAGGTATTCAAGATGTAACATCTCTCTATTACAGACAAAAAGCAGGTTATCTGAGAAAGCCATGGAGTATTTAGCATTTGGACAAGAATTCCATTTATACTGTAGAATCACAGACAATAAGGGTGTATGTCCTGAACATGGATAGCTGGAGTGCTATGGAGCCAAGAAAGGACAGCTGGTAATAACAGAAAAGAATTGTTGGTAAGCACCAAGGATTGTTGGTTCTAGGACAGCGTGAGAAAGAACAAGATGTGGCTGGAGAAGGGGTCGTGTGGAAGTAATGCAGCACTTTTTCAGGACAAACATTGTTCCAGTTTCTGGAACACAACCCAGCACAGCACAAGTGCAGGAATGAGGCCAACAAGTGGGAATG